CTGAAATTTATGAAGTTCTGGCTGAAGTGGCTGTTTTGGCTGATTCTGCTGATTCTAGAAAAAAATATTTTAAAAATATATTTCATTAATAAAATAAAGAAAAAATTACATGTAAAAATAGCTAAAATGGTCATCTACAGTAACTTCAACTAATACAGCCAGAAAAGTAACTCCAACCTTACTTTTTGTGCTTATTACACAATTCAGCACGCGAAAGTAAAAATTACGTGTTTGGTGAAAAAGCTGGCTGATAAGCCTGATAAGCCGAAAAAGGGGTCTCCAAACGGGCTCATAAAGTTCTGGCTGAAATGGCTGCATTGGTTGATTATGTTGATTTAAGAAAAAAATATTTTTAAAATTTACTTTATTAATAAAATAAATAAAAAATTATATGTAAAAATAGCTAAAATGATCATCTACGGCTAATTCAGCCAATATAACCAAAAAAGTAACTTCAATCTTACTTTTTCTGCTTATTACACAATTGAGCGCGCGTAATCAAAAATTACGTGTTTGATGAAAAAGTTGACTGAAAAGTTTTAAAAGTCTATAAAAACAATGTTGCCAAACAACCTCTTAACCTTGTTCCTTTGATGAATGTCATAAAGTAGAGTTCCAATTTCTTTAGAGGGTGAACATTAACCCCAATTACTTTAATATTAAAAGGACCTTGACATGATGGATTTGGTTTATAATGATGAATACTGCCATTGTCTTCCCTCCGTGTGTAGATTGGTTGTACAAATGAAAATTGCAAGGTAGCAAAACTAGTGGACAGGTATCGGTTCACTAGTTTGACCGGTATGATATCGGACCGATAAATGGGATTTAAAAAAAAATCAATTTTTTTGTCCCGAATCGAACCGTATCGGTTCCAAACAATTTCATGACAGGTTCTCATAAAATGAGAATTGATAGCGGATCGAACCAGATCGAACTATGATTTAATTATTTAAACTTGTACAGTTGTACTATTATAGTTTATTTGAAATTTAAGAATTATTACTCCATCTATCCCAAATTAATTTGCAAAGTCAACATTTTTTGTCAACCAATGTTAATGTGAAGTCCCCCCTAATGATAATTAATACGAAGTACAATTTTTAATAATTAAAATTTACGTATTTAGAAATCACATTAAAATATCTTTAAAGTTGCAAAATCCAAATTAGAATATACGAAGTGCTTTTTTAAGGCGAAAATAGAATATACTAGTAATTAAAAGTGATATACTAGTGGAATGTCTCCATGGATTTCCGAACCCAGACACGTCCCTACTGCTGTTAAGGTGTATGCCTGTGTATTGTCTTCCCCCGGAATTTGTTGGATTGTGCTGTTAAGGTGTATGCCCGTGTATTGTCTTCCCTCAGAATTTGTTGGATTGTGCATTCGTCAAAGTAACTCGTCAGATTTTTTACAACGTCCAGATATACCGTCATTTTTGCATCCATAGCTGCATACAAACCGTTAATCTGATTTACAATGAGAAAAGAGTCACAACATACCTCTAGGATCTTTACTCCCATGTCCTTTGTGATGGTAAGTCCCATCATAAGTGCCTCGTACTTAGCTTCATTATTTGTAGCCTTGAAGTCGCAATGAATTGTTTGTGCTATGTTCCCCCATTGTGGCAATTTCAATATGACTCCTAACCTTGCTCATTGCATATTGATGTTCCGTCAGTGTGCATAGTCCACTTTTGATTTGGAATTCCGTCAATTAAGTGACAAGCTATGAAGCACGGATACTTCCCTAGGGTAGCGTATCGGCGTATCGGATACGTTCCCGTATCCGATACTCTAGGATACCCGTACCGTACGTTCCCGGGCCGTATCTGTAATTTTTGAAAGTTTCCATTTTTTTTTGTAATTTTTTGAAAGTTTCCGATACTCGTATCCTGACGGATACCCGTATCAACTTTAAAAAAAAAATCCCAAAATTTACTTAATAAAATTCTAAAAAAAATGAAAACCTAAAACTACATTTTATTTGGTAATCAAATAATGGGCCTATATGACTTTATCCGAATTAAGTCATTAACACATACTTCGAAGTGGATACTTGCACTTTTAATTTTAAGATTGTACTTGTTTGACTAATTTCTCATTTTAAATTAATGACTTATTGACTACATTTATATTTCGAGATGCACTAGTGTACATGAGAAATATTATGAATTTATTATTAAATATCTTGAAAAAGGAAAATGATTCAATGCAATGAATGGGTAGACATCATAGGATATTATATGTGTGTATTTATATATATATTCAAAAAAATAATCTATTTTTAATATTTATAAATAGACCCCTATAACTTTTAATATTTGTAAATACACCTCCATAACTTTTAATATTTATAAATATGGCCCCGTATCCGTATCCTACTTTTTTTGGTTTTGACGTATCCCCGTACCCGTTTCCGCGTTTCCACGTTTCCGCGTACCGGTATCGGTGCTACATAGGTGACAAGTTTCTTATCCCGCTCCTATTTGCAATTTTGGACTGAAATCACTCACAAAGTGAGTTAAATCTATGATTGCAATGCATTTCTCGGCTCGTATGTTATCTCAAATGACCCTAATTGGATTGCCCATTTTACAATCCTGTCTGACAACTCGGGTTTCTTCATGATTGCTTTCATGGGATAGTTAGTTCGTTCACAAATGGGGTGGGATTCAAAATAAGGGCGTAATTTGAAGGAAAGAGAGACTAAAGCAAGGACTAATTTTTCTGAAAGTGTGTACCACTTGATTTAGGCCTGTTAAATGACTTACTTACGTAACATATAGGGAATTGAAGTTCATCCTCTTCTCTTGTCAAGACTGTACTAACGGAGTGTTCTGACACGTCTAGGTGTAACTGAAGTGTTTCTTCGTCTTTGGGTTTGGACAGCAATGAAGATGAACTTATATATTTCTTTAACTATTGAAGTGCTTCTTCATGTCATTCTGTCCACTCAAATTGTTTATTTTTTCTCATAACGTCATAAAATAAACAACACTTCTACGACGATTTGGCAATGAAACAATTTAAAGCAGCCACTCTCCCCGTCAGTTTATAGACGTCTTTGACAGATTTCGGTGACCGGATGTCAAGTATGGCTTTGACTTGTTCCAGGTTGGCTTCAATTCCTCTCTCGCTAACTATGTACCCCCAAGAACTCTCCCGAGGGAACTTCAGAAGAACATTTGGCTAGATTGAGTTTCAGGTTGTACTTCATCGGGATGTCGAATGAGATGGTTAAGTGTTTGACGTGGTCAGTTGTTGATTTTGATTTGACAAGCATATCGTCAATATATACCTCCATTGTCTTTCCGATTTGTTCCTTGAACATCATGGCCTGGTCACCAGCCTTTGGAAGATAGCTCCTGCATTTTTTAAAATCACCGAAGATGTATCGAAAAATTGAACGGAAGGACTCACAAGTGGTCAAGATACATTAGCCAAGTACCAAAATTGGACAAAGTGAAGATAAGGACAAAATGTGAAATTGACATAAAACTCATAGGACCAAATGTTGAATTAATTCCTCATATTATGCTACTAAAGTTCCATGTATGTCCGGGTCTATAGGTTCTCCACCAGCTAAGAATGTGTATGACTCTATTCCTCCATATGGGGGAGGACATGATCAGTGCGGTAAAAGAATTCTTCAATTTGGCAAAATTATTAAAGCAAACAAATCATACAGTCATGCTTTATAAGGTAATTACCAAGATTATTATGTCTAGGTTAGCACATTGCCTCCCTAGTATCATCGATCCCGCTTAGGATGCTTCACCTCATGTTTGATAACATTTTTCTTACTCAAGAGCTTGTTAGAGGATACAAAGATGCCGAATATCCCCTAGATGCATGATATAGGTCAATATATGCAAAGCGTATGACACCGCCTCTTGGGAGTTCCTTGAACAAGTCCTCAGAGGTTTGAGTTTTCCTAACCATTTTATCTTGTAGATTATGGAGTATGTTACCATTGTCTCTTCCTGAGTAGCCTTAAATGGGACTTTACATTGTTTTTTCAAAGGAAAACACAGGCTTAGACAAGGGGGTCCAATGTCCCATGTACTATTTGTATTCTGCCTTGAGTATTTATCACGTACGTGTAAAGACCGTACCCGTAGCTCAACTTCTGGTTTCAACTTTCATCCGTTATGCTCCCAGCTCAAAACTACCCATCTCACTTAGGCCGATGATCTCATCCTTTTTTCGGTGACTCTCAATCTTCATTTACTTTTTCAGGCGACATTTTTAAGGTATCTCTAACTCTGGCGATGATGAAGTTGTTAAGCTGGAAGATGAGATGATGACAAGGAGAAGGCGATGAAAAAGAAAATTAAAATTGGAAGATGGGGTGAGAGAATCATATGGACCAAAGAAGAGGAGGGATTAAAAATGATAAATTTCAACTTTATATATATATAGAGAGAGAGAGAGAGGAAACTTCATGTCAGGCCGGCCTGACGGGCTGCCCCGTCCGGCCGAGCCCGTTTGGGCACCTTCCCGGTGAAATTTTTTGATGAAATTTTTTGAGCATGTTCCTCATCAAGTCTAGTTTGTCCATACCAAATTTCAGCTCGAAATTCGATCGGGAAGGTCGCCAAATGATTTTTGCAAGTTAACTGGTCCGGAATATGTATTTTCCGGACCAAATCCCCCGCCCCAAACCCACACCATTGCCATCCTTATACTGAGTACTCGCTCACTATATGGGTTATCGTGCTGGAGTTGTTTGTTTTTGCAGCATTGAAACATGAGGCCGCCAGTACAAAGCAACAGAATGGCTTCCTCATCTTCTTCCTCTTCCTCATCTTCTTCGTATCCCTTCTCACCTCACTCATTCACCACCATGGAGCAAGTCTGGGAAGACATCAACCTCTCCTCTCTCCATAACCACCTGCATTCTACTTCTTCTTCAAACAGACTCGTCCTAGGTACATCTTCCGCCGCCGCGGGCATTAACTTTCAAGACTTCCTGACTCAGCCGACCTTTTCCGGGAAGGGAGGTGCACCGCCTCCGACCGCGGAGGCGTCTCCGCCTATGCTGTTCGACTTGAACTCCATCGCGGTACCGGATCTTCACTTCATGCCGCCGCCGCCTCGGATGAGATCTGTGGATTTGGGATGCTTTTCGGCCGGCGGCGGCGGCAACGACAGTGGCAGGATCCAGAAAAGGTCCGTCGACGACTCCGCCCAAAATTTCACCGACCGGAGGCACAAAAGGATGATTAAAAACAGGCAGTCTGCTGCTCGATCAAGAGATAGAAAGCAGGAAAGTGCTGTTTGCTTTGCTTTTATCGATTAATCATCTTAGTTAATTCTACATTCTTGATTCTTCTACACTTTTTTGGATTTATTTTCATTTTTGAAACTTTCTTTGTACCTTATTCTTTTTATACATATATATATATATATATATATATATATATATATATATATTAGTTAAGTTTGCTTCTTAGAACAAGAGATGTGTCACTTTTTCTATTCTACTTCGCATAAATTTTACACCTGAAATTTCTTTAAAAGGCTAATTTAGTTTATTTAATATAAAGAAAGTTTTTGGTCTGCCTCTATTAGGAAGTAGGAACCCATGCTTGTTATCCAGCGAATAAGCATCTATATCAGCCCTAAATCCTAATTCGCCCGTTTTTCTTTTTAGAACAATGATGTCATTCATAACTAAGATTACATTTTCAGTTAGTGATGATATTCATTAAAAGGGTTTTGCCAAATCATGTATTATTTGCTTGTAATAATTTTCTAAATGTAGTAAACGTCATTGTTTCTTTCCTGAAATATGACTCATAGATTTCTATTTATGGAAACTTTTATTGTTTTTCACTACTCTGCTTCCTTCTCAATCATGAATTTTTAGTTAGTAATGAAATGATTTGTCATTACACCTTAGTAAGAACTTCAGAGAACCTGTTCTGTTCTGTACTGTTTTACTCCACAATGGAGTAGTAGCTAGGCAATTTTTATTATACAGAGTATTACTCGTAATAATTAAAGTTTTTTTAGAATTTGAGGAGAATTTGGACTTGGCATACCCCCCGCCTTAACCCATGTAAATAGAGTTAATATATATCCAAGATTAACATCAATAAAGTTGCATAATAACAGTTTAAATAGTCCGAAATAAATAAATGAGCAAGTAAATGCATGTATATAGCGCATGACCTGCCAGTGATGTTTTGATTGACCGAGGACAGGCTTACATAAATCAGTTGGAGGAGGAAGCGCACAATTTGGTCGAAGAGAACGACAGGCTCAAGTTACAGCTTCAACAGGTTGCTTTTTTCCCTCCCCTTCATCACGATTTCAGTCATTTAACAGCTTCAACATGATTTTTTCCTCGTATGCCACTAAGATTTCTTGATGAAATAGGCCATTTTCCTAATATACATACACATAAACATTCCGTATAATGTAGGAGTACAAATAATGTGAAATTTGAGAACAGAAGCATTAAACATGGGACTGAACATAATAATCATATGATATATTTTGGAATTGCACATTGTTTTGTACTCTCATTTATCCAGTGGATTTAGGACCTATACCTTAAGCCCTTAAGCATGAGCCTAAGACACCAATGATAGGTAAAAGAATCTCTCCGTATTATAAACCTTCTGAAGGGTTCGAGTTATTTTATGTCTTTCTGCGTGTTCAATAAAAGAAAGCATATTAGGTCTGCTGATGGATTGATAGACGATTATGCTCGTACACAAACAAGAAAAATACAATGTTTTAAAATTGTAATCCAACTGAGATTTTATTTGTGTTCGAAAATCTCTGTTTCGCTACGAGTTTTCTTGAATTTATGTCCAAGTTATGTGTATTGAGTAAGTTAGTTCTATTCACTGCATGCATACATATATGAGAAGGGGCTCATGGAAGTTTTTCCCTGGAATTGGCAGCAGCAATTGTGTGTTTCAGAAGCTGCGGCAGCTCCAACACTAAAAAAGAGCTCTCTTCACCGAACCTCATCTGCCCCATTTTGAGTATGGCCTCTCCCAGATGGATTCTTTCTCTACTTAAAAGGATGTCCCAATTCAAGGCTTGGCTTTTTATTCCTACTACACTACTACGGAGTACTATTTTGACAAAATCGTGTCCTAATTTGATGCAATGTGTGTATGTATGTGTAATTTTTACAGTGGACTGGATAAATCTAACATCGATCTTAGAATGTAGGCCAGACAACATGTAATTCCAAATATGGAAGGCCAGTAACTTTTTTATTTTTGGTTAATGTAAAGGTATGGTGGGAACGTAAGGTAGGGGTGGACCCTCACTGCCTATATATCTTGTTTTTTTTGGACAACTTGTGCCAGAGCCATTTGCTAATTGGCTATATTAGATCTTTTTTCCTTTGGTTTCAATTTTATAATTTTGAGACCAGATTAGATTTCATCAAACCTAACTAGACTTTCAAAATAGTAAAATTTACCTAATATTAGATTTGATCAAGTTTTTAATATTTCAATCATTTTATACATATTTTGTAAAAATTCCTTTATCAACTTTAAGATTCAAGTTTTTATCAAACATGTACATTTTGGTATCACGCGCTGAATCATGTCATAATCAAAGTAAATAAGGATTGAATTATTTTAATGGGCCATTTTAATTACTTATTCATACAATTTTTTAGTTATTTTATTAATAAAATATTACTCGCTCCGTTCCATTTTGGTTGTCCTACTATCCTTTTTGGATTGTCCCAAAATGAATGTCTTGTTTCCTTTTTTGGCAAGAAAAATGTGGTCCTTATCATTTCATTTTATTCTACTCAAATTTTAACCACGACTTTTAATTTTCAACCACTTTATTAATAATCGTGCCAAATTGAAAGTTGACAACCAATATGGGACGGGGTAGAATCATATATATATATATATATATATATATATATATATATATAGAGAGAGAGAGAGAGAGAGAGAGAGTCCCGTTCTTGTCCAGCCGACCTGACGGGAACCGCCGTCCGGCCGAGGGCATTTCGGGCACTTCCCAATCGAATTTTTTGAAGAAATTTTTTGAGCATGTTCTTCATCAAGTCTAGTTTATCCATACCAAATTTCAGCTCAAAATTCGATTGGGAAGGCATTCAAATAATTTTTTGAAGTTGACTGCGTCAAAATATACATATAAAAACGCAGTCAACTTCAAAAAATGATTTGAATGCCTCCCCGATCGAATGTTGAACTGAAATTTTGTATGGATAAACTAGACTTGATGAAGAACATGCTCAAAAAATTTCATCAAAAAATTCCACCGGGAAGTGCCCGAAATGCCCTCGGCCAGACGGCGGTTCCCGTCAGGCCGGCTGGACATGAAAAGTCCTCTCTCTCTCTCTCTCTCTCTCTCTCTCTCTCTCTCTCTCTCTCTATATATATATATATATATATATATATATATATAGAAATGCTCAGGTCCCTCCGGAGGGACGGGAGCATCCGTCCGAACTTCACTGTTTGGGGCGGTTCCCGGTGGAATTTTTCGATGAAAATTTTTGAGCATGTTCCTCATCAAGTCTAGTTTGTCCATACCAAATTTCAGCTCAAAATTCGACCGGGAAGGCCGTCAAATAAATTCTTGAAGCTTACTGCACATTCTGCGCATATAGAATGTGCAGTAAGTTTCAAGAATTAATTTGACTGCTTTCCCGGTCGAATTTTGAGCTGAAATTTGGTATGGACAAACTAGACTTGATGAGGAACATGCTCAAAAAATTTCATCGAAAAATTCCACCGGGAACCGCCCCAAACAGTAAAGTTCGGACGGTCCCTCCCGTCCCTCCGGAGGGACCTGAGCAGTCCTCTCTCTCTCTCTCTCTCTCTATATATATATATATATATATATATATATATATATATATATAATGGAAATCTTCCGGTAAGGTATGCCCAAAATGCCCTCGGCCGGACGGAGCATCCCGTCAAGCCGGCTGGACAAGAACGGGACTCTATATATATATATATATATAATGGAAATCTTCCGGTAAGGTATACCTTACCGGAGCCGCCGTGCGGCCTCCACGTTTTGAGGGTCTTACCAGTGGAATTTTTCGATGAAATTTTTTAGCATGTTCTTCATCAAGTCTAGTACATCCATACCAAATTTCAGCAAAAAATTCAATCGGGAAGACAGTCAAACGATTTTTGGAAGATAACTGCACCCTACATATAAAACGCAGTTATCTTCCAAAAATCGTTTGACTGCCTTCCCGATTGAATTTTTTGCTGAAATTTGGTATGGATGTACTAGACTTGATGAAGAACATGCTCAAACAAATTCATCAAAAAATTCCACCGGGAAGAACCTCAAAACGTGGAGGTCGCACGGCGGCTCCGGTAAGGTATACCTTACCGGAAGATTTCCATTATATATATATATATATAGAGTCCCGTTCTTGTCCAGACGGCCTGACGGGATGCTCCGTCCGGCCGAGGGCATTTTGGGCACTTCCCGGTGGAGTTTTTTGATGAAATTTTTTGAGCATGTTCTTCATGAAGTCTAGTTTATCCATAACAAATTTCAGCTAAAAATTCAATCGGGAAGGCACTCAAATAATTTCTTGAAGTTAACTGGGCAGTTCATACATATGAACTGCCCAGTTAACTTCAAGAAATTATTTGAGTGCCTTCCCGATTGAATTTTTAGCTGAAATTTGTTATGGATAAACTAGACTTCATGAATAACAATCTCAAAAAATTTCATCAAAAAATTCCACCGGGAAGTTCCTGAAATGCCCTTGGCCGGACGGCGGTTCCCGTCAGGCCGGCTGGACATGAAGTTCTCTCTCTCTCTCTCTCTCTCTCTCTCTCTCTCTCTCTCTCTCTCTCTCTCTCTCTCTCTATATATATATATATATATATATATATATATATATATATATATATATATATATATATACTGCCTCCGTCCCGCTAAGATTGTCCCATTTTACCTTTTTGGGAAGTCCCACTAAGATTGTCTCATACCAAATTTGGTAAAGTTTGTGTGGTTCTAAATCATTCTTACTTTATCAATTTAATATCAACCACACAAATCCACTTTTCTTAAAAATCGTGTCACATTCTCTTGTCCCAATCTTAGTGGGACGGAGGTAGTATATATATATATATATATTATATTATATATATAGGAGGAAATCTTTCCGGTAAGGTATACCTTACCGGAGTCGCCGTGCGGCCTCCACGTTTTGAGGGCCTTCCCGGTGGAATTTTTCGATGAAATATTTTGAACATGTTCGTCATCAAGTCTAGTACATCCATACCAAATTTCAGCAAAAAATTCAACCGGGAAGGCAGTCAAACGATTTTTGGAAGATAACTGCGTTTTATATGTATATAAAAAGTGCAGTTATCTTCCAAAAATCATTTGACTGTCTTCCCGATTGAATTTTTTGCTGAAATTTGGTACGGATATACTCGACTTGATGAAGAACATGTTCAAAAAACTTCATCAAAAAATTCCACCGGGAAGAACCTCAAAACGTAGAGGCCGCACGGAGGCTCCGGTAAGGTATACCTTACCGGAAGAGTTCCCTATATATATATATATATATATATATATATATATATATATATATATATATATATATATATATATGGTTAAGATCGGATACAAAGTGTGTTTCCGATACAAAATACAAATTCATCCCATCCGTCCAAAATTACAAAATCAATGGTAACAAATATTTTGGCAACTAAGATTCAACCGTAAGTGGGGAGATATTTCCTATTTTATCTCAAGTATAGGGGTTAGGCAAGTTACGTAGGAAAGTTTTTCCATCTTTCAAATTAATACACCGTAGGATCATTCAAATGGACGGTTAGGATTAGTTTGCACTTTGTAAATTAAGATGAGTTTGTATGTGATCTTGAATCTATATATATATATATATATATATATATATTAGGAAAAAGATCTTGTCCATCCAGATGGGCAGGAGCATCCGTCCGGCCGAGGCCCTTCTCGGTGGAATTTTTTGATGAATTTTTTTGAGCATGTTCTTCATGAAGTCTAGTTTAGCCATACTAAATTTTAGCTAAAAATTCAACCGGGAAGGCACTCAAATGATTTTTGGAAGATGACTGTTTTATATGTATATAAAGTGCGCAGTTAACTTCCAAAAATCATTTAACTGCCTTCCCGATTGAATTTTTAGCTGAAATTTGGTATGAATAAAGTAGACTTCATGAAGAACATGCTCAAAAAATTTCATCGAAAAATTCCACCAGGAAGGGCCCCAAACAGTAAAGTTTGGACAGAACCTCCCGTCCCTCCGGATGGACCTGAGTATTCCTCTATATATATATTCTATAATTCAACCAATTCAATCATTTTAATAGAATTTCAACAATCTTTAGTATTACCAAAAGAGTTTCTTATGTTACTTTCTCACATTCACTTTAAGCTCGTAATTCTTACATTTACAATTAGCATACTATATTAGTAATAGTAACTAGTACTTATTTACTACTCCGTATTTCTCCTATTACAGTTATACTACCAAAGTTGACATATTATTCAACTTGTTATATTACTAAGCCTAGTAATACTAGTTATCATCATATTTTACAAATATTGTACATTTTTACTAATTGTCATATTAGTAGCATGTAGTAATTTTATGCTAATTGTTTACTAGCAATGATTGATGTAATAACACATTGTGATCTTGTAATACTAGTGTATTCCCTCTGTCCTATAAAATTCTTCCAATTTTTCTTTTTGAACCGTCCAAAAAAATTCTTTTCACTTATCATTTTTGGGCAATTTGTGTAACTCACATTCATTTTACTTTTTTTTTGAAAGGACATTTTACTTTTTCTTATACAACTACAATCATACATTTTCACTTTACTCTCACTTCCTAGATTGCATGCCAAATCAATGTGGGAAGAGTTTTTTTGGACGGGGGAGTAGTTTGTAACGTTTATCTTTTGTATCACACTGTAATATTGTAGTGCTAGTGCACAACTTTTTTATGTGCACTAATGTTGTACTATTAATCATACTAGTAATAGAATATTACTAATATCACATTTACGGTGTAAAATTTCCCATATTATGTGAGAGGTAAGCCACAAACGATATGGGAATCCAGAGTGGTTACCAATTCCTGCAGGCGTGAAGATAGATTAATAGATTATGCTCCATGGTAATTCAGCCAAAGAAAAAAACATAGGTAGGACCTGGCATAAGGCATCATACAGAAGAGTAAATTAATTGTTGTACGTTAATAAAAGACATAACGTACGCATCGTGGTTATCCTAGGATTCCTAGCTATATCATATCTACATGCTGCCTGATCTCCCTCGTACGGACCTCCATTTTACACCCCACATACAGGCAGGCGTGATATACCGTAGTATAATGTATCCATTGCTGCTAGCTCTTGTCTCTACTCATATGTTAAGATTCCATGAATTGAGGCGGCGGGGGCCTTGTTTTCATCTTCTGTATGCCTGCATCACGTTTTATCAATGTACCCCCACATATACTTCAGGTATATACTATATACATATGACTCATTACAAAAAATAATGGAGGAAAGTCACCGCTAGCAAGAACGCATACCGTTGATTCCACGAATCTCAAGTTCCCGGTGCTCTTGCACCAGGGCGCAGCAGCAGCACATCAAGTGTGAGAGGAAATCATCAATAAACCCTCCCTGCAATTTGAAATACAGTATCTGTTATTATGACATATAGATCTACTTCAGTGGACATAAAATACAATGGAGATGTCTGCTTTTTTAGAATTTATTATCATTGTTGATTATAACCCCTAAATTCCTCATGTGTATCAAAATTTGCGCTTCCATACATGGTTGCTTGTGTTTGTTATAGAAACGCAGCAATATATGGTAAACATTGATTTATTGAATCAGTATGGTGTACATGTACTGCCTCTAGTCTTCATATACAACAATGATGTCATAAAATAGCTCTTTAACATACAGAAAATCAGCTATACAATCACTATAGACAAGGTAACTAATCACTAAAATAGGAGCTAATTATATAAATTAATGAAAAGATTAATAACTGCTTTCCAAATCAGTACTAGCGCCAACATTTATAGACACTATAGAGACTAACATTATTATTATTATTATTACGATTAGTTAAAACTTCAAATTGATTTCAAACTCCAACATTTTCAATTCATGTGCTTTCTTGTTTCTTCTTCCCTTGTTACCTTTGAGGCTGGCCTTTTTCCTTTTTTCTTTGTGAAAAGGATAAGCCTCTTAGCATTAATGGTGTACCATAACTAGTGAAATTGATGCATTTTGATACCCCACAATTGAGTGAAGTAAACCAGTATTCTAAAGTCACCATGGATGGGTACAATTGAAATTCATGCTAAAATTATCTAAAGTAGCAACCTCAATTTCACGTACACTTCCCAAACAAAGTACATCTAAATGCTTGATTCACGCGTATATCAAGCACTTATGGAACTGTGCTAGTTCGGGGGGGGGGGGGGGGGGGGATGTGCTAGTTCATGAACAAGACATATAGGTAGTCTAGTTATTGTACAAGCTGAGAAGAATCATGATGATCTCGTATACTAGGATATATAATTTGTTGCACATATTTATTGTGGAGGGCACGTGAAACTTAGAGTGACAAGGGTTTTTTAACCAAAATTTCAAATATATTATCCTGAAAGAATTAAATTCACTTCCAATACTGATTTGTATCATTCAATAGTTTAGGTACCTAAAGACACAAACTGAATAGTTGGGATACCATTTTTGCATTTACTCCCTATTTTATTTTTGCTTGTTTTGAAAAGATCACAGGTTTTCTTTCTACCTTTTTTGTTAACCAATCATCTCACGAGTTGTTTTTCTTTTATTTTTACCTTCATCCCTTGTCTGCATGAGAATTTTTTGATGGAGTTACCAGAACTAATGGTGCACTCACCGCTTTCTTTATCTCTTCTTCACTCTAGTTCTGTTTTTCATTTTTTTATTTTCCCCTATTGAAAGAAACTTTTTCCAATGACATCCTGACCGTCCCTGGAATAAATGTAGTTTTTCATTAATTATGGCGATTTCATCAGAAAACCATCTTCTTATGAGGACAGAGGAGAAAAGGAAAAAAGAAAAATAAAATAAAATGAAAACCAATGGGAAGAAGAAACAAACGAAAGAAACTAGCAAACTCACCATTCTGGTGACTACATTGAAAAAGAAAGACTTGTTGATAGGGCAGACAAGGGGAGAAAGAAAAAAGGGGGAAATAATTAAATTAATAAATAAATAAATAGAAAATCTGCAAAAAGAAGCAAGAAAACCAATGAGTTCACTATTACATTTAGCGAAATTAATTCCAAAGACTACATTAGAAGGAAAAAACTCTTCTGATATGGCTGCAAGGGAAAACGGAAAAAGGGAAAACTAAAACCAAGGGAAGAAGGAAAAAATAACAAAAAGGAAAACGAGGCCTGTCATCTTAACAAGCAAAGGGAAAAAAGAAAGAAAAAGGCAAGCTTAACTGCACAAAGGAGAAGAAGAAGAAGAAAATAACCGAGACAACAGGTCATCAAGAACAGGCCGCAGATCAATGAAAACAGATGAGTAAAAAAGTCAGATTATTTTTATACTATCAAGTGAGTTTATTTGAGAAGAGAGGTGAAATTTGAGATTTTTTGAATCAACTGAACCTTATTGTTATAATTAAAACTATTGTGGTTGTAGTAGTTGTTGTTAGTCTTGTACTTTTTTACTATTTATTACTCGTATTATTATTACTATAACTATACACTTTGGACTTCATGTATCCTGGCCCCAGAAGTTGGAGATACAGAAGTTTGCTAAATTTGGTATGCATAGAACAGGAGAAGATACCGAGATGCTCAGCTGTTTCCGCAGCTTCCTTCTGATGCAACATGTGTAACAGCAGCAGGACAATATTAAGGTGTATGCCATCAATTCATTACATGCTTCTGCTGAAGCTGTTTTCACAAGAATGACAAAAGGAAATTAAAAACAGCACAGAACTACTGAACTCTGGTAAAAAAAACAAAATGAAACCCTTTTACAAATAAATATTTGAATTGCAGGGAAGGCACACATTATCATTTGAATTTGAATGATAAAGGGGAATATATACACCCAAAGAGAAATTTAGTTTCTTCACAATGTGTTATATTCCACGGAGCAACAAAGATGTCATTAATATGTAAACATTTTTTCTCAAGAGCAAATAGCAAGAACCCTACAGGCTCTGCTAACTATTAAGCCAATAAGGTATCCCACACCATTCATACATAAAAACATGAAAGTCATACGTGCGTATTTGGACTACTTCCCGTATCAAGTTGAACACTTGAACTCATTGGATAAAATCTAATGTCTCAATATTGTAATTACGATCAAACAAGTAATCGAACTAACTATGATTCAAAAATAGCACTCAGAATTCAGGATTGGTGAACTTTAACGAGCCACAATCTTCACATGATAGTAAGACACGCGGGCCATGCTAAGCCTTTTATAGTTCATACTTCATAGCTTATACATTAGAACTAAAAGCAAACTATAGACCAGATTTAAAGCAAACCACAAGGCATTTCCAAGTTGTATGAGCAGTCGCAATATCAATCAAAAGATTATAGCGCAACTCACAAATATGTTTGTTGGTTGCTACAGTTGCAATTTTTGAAAATGTCACACATGGAAATAGTAAGGTTTTTATGCCTGCCAAAAATCAAATGGTTAGAAAATGTGAAAAAAAACCATCCTCAACCTTCTATAAATCAACAGTTACAAGCCACCCAAAATCCTGAGAGAGCATGTGAGTGTCACTAGAGTTTTGGATTCTAAATGAGTCTCATGCTATTAATGTTCTGAAATAAGATATACAGAGTAAGAGTTGGTCTTAAGTTGAGAGTGCATTTTGAAGTTGGGAAACTAGAGCTATATTTTTCAATTTTGAACCAATTTAAATGCTCCTTTCCTTATTTACTTCCAAGTGAAACACTAAATGGAACACACAGGTTCACTTTTTCTATGCTTCTATTGCAACAATGTGAAGTATCACATTAACAGCTTAGCTTTCTCCCATCTCGGTTGGTTGAGTAATGTACACCTGTAAATATATCATGATACAAGTTGAGAAATCCTAAGCTTTCAGTCATCCAGCAATCCAGCCTCTAAGTTCATAGTAGGTCTATTAAGCACCAAAGACATCATTTGTCTATTATCTGAACTTACCAAATGACAACATGAGATTTAATGAAGATAGGCCAGAGTGCATTATACACCCTCAGTTGTCTCTATGCATTAGCATATTTTACTTATATTTAATTCCTTTCTCCTACAAAATCTCATTGTCAGCCCCCAATTACTTGGAATCGTGATCATTTAGGAGGGGGAGTCTCTGAAGGGTTTTAGACTATATTTTGTGATTGAAATGATGAATTATTTCCACTTTTAGTCCTACGAGTTATAGTCATTTCCACATTTAGTCCACGTCTTTCAGTTTGTCCACTTTTGGTACTTGACTAATGTTTCTTGACCATTTGTTGTCCTTCTCCGGTGATTTTAACCACCGGAATTGTTGCCGGAAGGACCATGTATGGGCGAAAACACAATACTCATGTACCAAAAGTGGTCAAAGTCAAAGATGTGGACCAAATGTGGAAATGACATGAAACTCACAGGACCAAAAGTGGAATTAATTCTTGAAATGATATATGAATGTCTATTTATTCTCTCAATTTTTATGAAATCACAAATATAAACTTCATCCGTCCTAAAACGGGTTTGAGGTCCACTTTTCTTAGTCACCGTTTAAAATTATTTTTATATTTAGGATATCACTTTTTTAACATATTCTAATATAGAATTTGCAACTTTATGGAATTTTTTATGTAGTTTCTGAATGTGTAAATTTTAATGATAAAAACTTATTTAACTTTATCGTCAGTAAAACTTAAAAACCGCAAATTTCAAATCAACTTGGGATGGGTGGAGGAAGAATCGAGATTTATAAACCGGCCTAGAGGAATCCTACATCCTTTTTTTAGGAGAATGGAAATGAGGAAGCAATAGATGAAACTTTATTTATTAAATGAAACAGAGCAGTTTATGTAGTATACAGAGAAGGGGTTCTGAACAACAGCCCAAAAGATCCGAATGCCATTCTTCATATTGATGTGAACCCTTTGAAGATAACAAGTCCTGTTTGGATGAAACTGAAGAAGTGTTTCTGCAAAATAAAATGCACTTGGTGACAAACTACAATGAAATTAATAAGCTATAAGATAGCATGATCTTCATGTGTAGCACACAACTAGTTTGATTCACCAAAAAACTTTAAAATTGAGTACATAAAAAAGAATGGCGAAACACATGTAGTTATGTCAAGACTTTTTTATTAAGAATCTACCTTGGAGTTGTTTGTTTATCAATATTTTTTCTGTAGCTTTCATCACAAGTCTCTTTATTACTCTCATCATCTGAATAACCATGCTCTACTTTGATAGGTTTGGCAGGCAAATTTTTCTCAGGAAGAGAAGTAGCAGCAACAACTTGTGTGACATCAAGAAGATGCTGAATGAATTCACAATGATGTACGTCTAAATTAGCTTGGGAATGTTGCAGCTCTAGCTGAAGTTTTTCATTTTCTTTGCGAATTGCCTCACTGATGGGCATGCTTGGGTAGGAACATGAAAGTGTTTTCTTCAATACAACAGTATCGTCTTTAGAGGGTTCTGGCTTCATTATGACTTGTTGCACCTTCATGTCTTCATCATCCAGAGTGTAAACTCTTTGATCCTTCTCAATAATTTCCAATCTCTCCTGCCAATCGTCGTAAGAGTTAATTTGGAAATGTAGAGAGGAGCGCTAAGAAAAATATTACTGTCTAGAGTAAGCATATGATGCATTTGTCATCCACATCGCAGTTCAAGGCATACCTACATTGTTAGAGCAATTATGAACTGAAGTTACTGTGTTAGACTTGATCAAGTACAAACACAGCATGGAAACAGTTGAACATGCATCCGAATACCAGATACACACTGGTTTAAGTGCATGGGTGTAGATACTAGATAAGTGAGGGTCCCCGAGTTCATCAAAACTGGTATTTTCTATGACTAAAATTTACTTTTAAAACTCATAGGATTGATCTATTTTTTCAGTCCATACTGAATTCAAACTTTTGGGAGCCCCGGCTACGCCACTGGTCACCACATAAGACATAGCCATAATGTGTGACCATCCTCTCTGTAATCTTAACTGGGAAACATAATTCCAGATAGTGTGATAGAAATCAAGATTTGAGTGGGGGAACTGGGCATTACAGCACTTGGTCCAAAAGATTTGAATCCAATATGTCAGCTAGTTCAACCAAGGTCTAACTGACCCATTATCTTTGTGGGACTTCTAATATTATGCTCCAAGTAGGACATGACAAGTTGAATCTGTACTTGACATTAAAACTGAACTTAACAAGGAAATGATCTGATATATAGTTTATCACACATATAGCAAACCGTGGTCACAAAAAAATTAGTATGCTTAGGTATCCTATTAGTTATAATTCTCAACGAAGTGTGGAAAAAGGATTTTGGTGAAGTGAATATTAGCAAGATGGAGCATATACATGATTTTGGCATTCCAAAAAGAAACAACAGAGAGGAAATTTAAGTACCCTGACACGTGCATTGTCCACAAGGGTGATGAGGGGGATGATCTTCAAGTATCTGTCTATCTCATTCTGAGCCCTCCGGAACTGATACACAATGTTCCACCCCATAGCTAATAGATAAAGATAGCTCCGTTCTTGGCAACTGTTAACCAGGATAAATGCCCTCCTCAAGGCATCCTCAAACAGTTCTAATGGCTCGCTTGTTCCTGGATACTTCTTAAGCTCGGATAGCTTGAGCTGCTCCAAAAGATTGCCAATTAACTTGAGATGCTGCGCAAACTGCCTACAGTTCTTCTTGTGCATCTTTGCAGTGCTTGCTGCTTTCACTATCATCCCGATTAGCTTCAACCCATCGATCCCTGAAAGCTGGGCGACAGTTGCTATGCCTCCCAAAGCATCCCATGAAGACATTTTCCCTCAAATCTAGCAACTTTTTGTGAGTAATGGATTTCCCAAAAAGGGTCTTCTAAATCAAGTGGTTATGATTGTACGTGCAGTGCTAGAGTAGTAGAAGAGGTTCTCGAATAGGCAAGATTTGTAGATCTTCAAGTGCTGAAAATGAAGAGGCTCTCGTGCTCTACTACATCACCCACCTTCAGCTGCAACAACAAGTAAGAAGAAACGGGTCAAGGAGATCTCAAAAGGAAATTAAGTTACTGTTGCTCCATGAGACATTTCGTTTTCTTCCCACATCTGAAGAGACGATAAAATGATTGAGATCTTGAATTATCACTTAACTAGTGAACATTCGGATCAGAATATGCACGGCTTGATTTGATAATAATACGGAATACAGTTAAAACTTCGCATTTATTTAATTAAAAGATAGACAACCTCCAGTGAGTGCACCGCACAATTGAGACATGAAAAGGGCTCGAGAAAATTAAAGGAGAGCTAAAAAAGAAACAAATTATTTGACTCAAGTCTCTATTTTAACAAAAAGGATTGACATTTGACAGCCAATATTAACTCAAAGTAACCACCGTCGCAGTCAATCGCAGTCAAGTCTTCAACAACTCAATTCACTGATCTATCTTGGCTTGCGACTGGAATCCAAAATTCAGGCAATTTTCATTTCGCTATTCGCTGCAAAGCGAAAAGTGTAGACAAAATTAGTATAGTTGCGTATTTAAATGGACGTGTACAGAAAGAGCTAGTATATACGTACAGCTGAAGTGAAAAACACTGGATTTCATAAGGTTGTAATATTATAATGAGCTACGTATTTAGTGAAATCGAGAGGCCGGAAAAAGAACAAGTATAGAACGTAGGTGTTCGGGAAGTCGTGCATTATTACCTCAAAAGGAGAGGATGAGGAAGAAAGTGATTCGCCGCCGGTGGAGATTTGTCTGGCCGCTGCAGTTCGAGTTGCTTTTATTTGGCGGTGCATCACCGCTCAGCGGCTGACTAAAGCCCTGCTATTCCCGAAAGTGCCCCTCGCATTCTGCTATATACCCCACCAGCTTTGGTCACGGGCCTTTCCTGCAAAAGTCACGTTGACTTTTACTCCCTATTTACTTACACTCCACTCTCGTTTCTTCCCTTTTTTGGTGGGCGAATATTTTAAGCTTTTTAATTTTGGAAATTTACGAACCTACACGTAAAAGTATACATGGGCGTATACACAGTGTCGTATGCCCCAATGTGTTTAACTTCTAATTAAAAAAAGCACTTTAAAGTCATAAATTAGAAGCTACCAGGTTGCTGCTTTTATCAACTTCTAGGTATACTTGTAAATAATTAGAACTCGATAATTATAATGGTCAAATGTTTCTCCTAATCCCAAACTACTCTTCCTTTTTCGCAGACCTGCAATCTGCTTCACGTTTTACTTGCCCCAATTCATAAGCTTCCTTCGTGCTTCACTTCGCCCCAATTCACGACTAGGACCACCCTCTTCCTCTTTTCGTTTTTGTCTTTGCTCTAAAGAAATGCCATTAGAATGCATCATAGAACCCTGATTTAAACAAGTTTGAAGAACTAGCCGGTGCGGTCAGCGGCTTGGAAATTTGGAATGGGAATTGAAATAATAGATACGGATATCTTCGAAATTCAACCAGCTGGTGAAGCAAGATGATATGTGAGAGTTACCTTCTCTTCAAACCAGTGTAGCTCCAACTCACTCGTCGAACACATTGGAATGCTCCGATGAAAGAAAGATCCAAGAGAAGAAACACTGTATTTAATTATGGAAGGATAGTTTTGTACTTCTACAATCTACTTCCAAAAAAATCACTTTTTTATCAAACACTCCAACTTTTACATTTTAATTAAAATCACTTCTATTCCCAAACACTATCAACGTTTACTACAAATCACTTTTCCTATAATCTCTTAAAAAATCACTTTTAAAAAGCCCAAGCAATCGCAAACACTCCCTTAGTTTTCAATTTTCATCGAAATTATATCCCGGTTTTATCTACACATATTAAGGAAATAAACTTATTAGGGGGTAAATTTTAGCACTGTTTTGACACTGTTTGGCACTGTTTTGCACTGTTTGTCACTGTTTTGATGTAGATAACTCTCCATTTAAGGAAAAGGAAACTTCTATTTGGGACTGCTAAAAAAGGAAAGCGGGAAGTTCTTAGCGGGACGGATGGAATACTACTTATGAGTTTTCTTGTTTGACAAATATTAGAAATAGATTATGAATTTATAGCATATGTTATTGTCCTTTGATGGTATTTTTATTTTGAAGGTACTAAGTAGTACTTTCACCGTGATTTAGCCAAATTTGACTTATACGTGGAATAACAAGAAAAAAATTGTGTAAATGATAAATTGTGTAATTGAAATTCGTGCGTAAGAAAGAGAAACTATTTTAACCATATATTTATTATATTAAATGTAAATGATAAATTTTTAAGATGACTAAATAAGGAAATTTGTGACGAAGGGTATTGTTTCTAATATAAGTTTTTGAAATGTGATTCGAATCCTTCATAAAAAAAATGTGATTCAGGGCTTCAGCCGCTTGGAGTTTTTTTCCGTCTTCGATTTTAATCGAAGGACGGCCGCTTTTTCCGTCTTCGATTTTAATCGAAGGACGGCCGCTATTTCCGTCTTCGATTTTAATCGAAGGACGGCTGCTGTTGTTTGTGCTTCATACTCGAAGGGCAGATTTGTTGTCATGGCTCGAGGAGATCGGCGTTGTGGTCAAGGTTCGAGGATGATGTATTACTGTCGTCGTTGGAGAAGATCGGCGCCGCCTATCCGTTTACTCTGGTTGCATGAAGCAGGGATGAGTTTGGTTATGCAGGGACGGATGATTGATGCATGGCCTTTGACAGACAAAGGTCATGGAGTATCAATTAGCATGGTACCGGTGGTAAGACCTCCTCCTGAACCACCACCATGGGATGTACGAGGTGCTAGAGTTCGTGAACGCTTTTCTTGTAGTTTTTATCTGTTTGTTATTTGTTTTCTTGTGTCCACTTTTGTTGTTGGTTTTGACAGTTTGTTTGAGTTTTTTGTCTCTCTTTATGTCATTGGGTATGGTTGGATCTATGGGAATAGGTTTGGCTGTGTCAAGCCCACTACATGGTTAGCGATTCGTGTTGCTCTCTCAGGGGTGACCGTCTCAAAGTCTCACCATAGGGTTATAGTCGTAGTTGTTGAAGTTTCAGTTGATGTCAGTTTTATTTTCCTTTTGCTTGATGTAATGATCCTGAATCTTTTTATATGAATAAAGGCTCGTTTGATGATAAAAAAAAATGTGATTCAAATTGCGTGCTCATGAGTTGTTATACCGTGGGAGCAGCCCACAGTGAGGATCATGCTCCCATGGGTATTATTTAACTTAATAATTAAATAAAGAATGTGATGTAAATCCCTTGTAATAAAATGTAACTCGCATTATTACAAATGTAACTCCCGCTAGTGTCAAATGTAAACTTGTTCCCTGAGAAATACTCCCTCCGTCCCGCTAAGATTGTCCCATACCAAATTTGGTAAAGATTGTGTGGCTCTAAACCACTTTTACTTTATTCTTACTTTATCAATTTAATATCAACCACACAAAACCATTTTTCTTAATAATCGTGCCACTTTCTTCCGTCCCAATCTTAGTGGGACGGAGGTAGTATAATCCATGTTGCTCCCAGTAGTTCTATCACTTTTCATATGTGAGATGTAAATCGTTTGTTAGTAAATGTAACTTTAGACAAAACTAAATGTAACTCGGTAGTGTGTAAAATGTAACTTGAGAAAATTCAAATATGTAAATCATGGTAATTGAGATCAAAATAATTGACTAGAGAGACAAGAACTTGGATCGGCAATGACTTTCCTCAAGTTTTGTCCCTCAAACTAGAATCCGAGAGATAAATTTAGAGGCCGTTTGGCAACATTGTTTTTCGGATATCAGGTTTTCCAGTCAACTTTTTCATCAAACATGTAAGTTTTGCTTTCGCGCGCTAAATTGTGTAATAAGCAGAAAAGGTAAGGTTGAAGTTACTTTTCTAGCTGTATTGGCTGAAGTTACTGTAGATGATTATTTTGGCTATTTTTACATATAATTTTTCTTTATTTTATTAATAAAATATATTTTAAAAATATTTTTTTCCTTAAATCAAAAGAATCGGCCAATGCAGCCACTTCAGCCAGAATTTCATAAATTTCAGCAGAACCAGTCAAAACAGGCGATTTTGGTGCTACCAAACGGGCTCTTAGACTTGGATTATTGACTTTGTATACATATTGAATCTGCGCATGGATAGATGGGATGGGCGTAAATATGATTGGGATCTCAAGTTTTAGGGTCTGTGTTATGCCAGTGGTCATCAGATTTTAGGCAATTTCAAAGCAGAGCAGGGAATCAGATGCGGAGTACCTAAGCCTAGACACGACGCTCCCAGATTCACAATAATTACAGAGAGGGAGGAAATAGATTGTTTGGATAGAGAGCAGATGCGCAGCAGGTAGGCAGAGCGACGAAGAAGATGAAGGAGAGAATGAGATGAAGGAAATAAAAGATTTGCAATTTTAATATAAAAAAATGCGCCGTTTTAGAAGGGGGAGCACGATGCTCACTGTGGGATGATCCCACGGTATAATTTGCGCGTGCTCATAGTGAGAGAGTTTATTGGAGGCTTTTGGGAGTTGAGACGGCGAGTTGATTCCCGAGGGAGACCGGAGAGACACAACACAAAAGGGATGGCAGCGAGTTTTAATTGATTGAATTAGATACTCTTACTGTGGCTGAGGGTATTAGCAAGAAAGTAGGATTGTCCTATTTTAATCGATGAATGATGATATTAGGAATTTACTACGAAGTATAAGAGAACGTTACATCCCCATTGTTTAGATTATTTAGAGATTAATTGGATGATATGGATGATTTTTTGTTTAGATTATGATTGAAATCATGAGATTATTTGACAAGATTATTTTCTAAAAAGATCTGATATCTAATATTGAATCTAGATTATTTGGAGATTTTTTACCAATTTTTTAATTCGTTTGTGGAATCCAAGAAAAAACATTAAATATACAAAATGTTAAAGAGGAGTTGCATATGTGTATACTTAGTTTTAACGTATAATTAGTCGTAAATTACACCGTACCGCCGGCCGTATGATGCTCACCGTACAACCGGGTTTTTTTGTAATTAAATTTGCGATTCAGCCAGGCAACTTGGCGATGAAGACGACGGAGGACGGCGGATCGAAAGTCGGCTGCAACTCGCGAACGCAGAATGCCGATAGCCAAGCTTCCAAGTGCCCCAACTTCGGACTTGCAGATACCGATCGATAGAAGCAGAGACGGCTGCTTCGCCAATGAAGAGGCGACTTTACCTCTGTGATTCCGATGTTCCCCTCTTGCTAATTTCTAACCTCCTATGTGATGCCAATTTTTTTTTTATAAAAAATCTATTACGCTCTTAGTAATATCATAAAAATGAGTTTACTTTTAAACTCAAATGAGTATACGCCTAAAAGAAATGAACTCACACAAAATAATATTGAACATATCGAAAATGAGTTTTATATTAAATTCAAATGAGTATACATCTAAAAAAAGAAATGAACTCAACAAATTAATATTGAACACATTGAAAATGAGTTTTATGTTAAACTCAAATGAGTATAACATCAAAACAAATGAGCATACACAAATGAACATTTGAATTTTTAAATACTCATCTTGTAAGTTACATATGCTCATTTGTTATTGTTTTATGCTCATTTAAAAATGTTTCACATTTCAAACGCATCATACTACATTGGATTCAGATGTTGAAATAATAAACGAAAAAATAATAAAAAGAAATTGAATTAGAAGATATGAAGCAGAAATCACTGGTGCTCATTGTTAGACCCCTAATACTCAAAAGAACATACTCGATGCTCATCACAATCACATAATGAAAATCACCGGTGCTTATAATTTCAAGTTGATGCTCAATGAAAATTTCTTGATGTTCAATTAAAAGTACCTATGATTTTCATATCAATTCTCATTTTGTAATTTATTATGCTCAACGGTTATTCATGTTATGCTCATTTGAAAAATGGCATAACAATGCATATTTCAAAAGTATCATATTGCATTAAATTCGCATACTGAAGTTCATAAGAGTTGATTATAGATATAATTTAATAAGTTTTTATAAAGAAAAAAATAAGGAACAAAAAGTAAATTCGAAGAGATGAAGCAGAGATCATGATGCACATTGTTATTCTTCTAATGCTCAATACAATATGTCTCATGCTCACTAGACATGTTTTAATGCCCATTTAGTACAAGACACGAATTTCATGTAAATTACAAAAATGCCAACGTCTGTACGGTGAGAACCGTACAGCCGGCTGTACTATATACGCTTCCTATGTTTTAGTGTATGTCTCACAAATAATCTGAAAATTAAAGATGATGGTTGGGGGGATTTAATGAGTTCTAAGATTATTTCAGTTTTTTTATGTGGCGATGATGTGACAAAAAAATATGTTTATTTAGAGAGCATGAATGGAGATGCTCTTACAAACTTTTTTTTGCGAACGTCTGTGAATCAAGCTGCCATGTTAGTGCTAGGGCTTGAGGGCCGAGTTTAGGGATAGTTATGACTTATGAGATCATTCCAAGTAGTATTGTGAGTCAACTTTCAATTAATATCCCAAACTTGCATATGTAATTTAAATACTTCAAACATTATATAAAAGTTATTTTCGCACCATTTTCATTGATTATTTCTTTCAAAAATGCAAATTTATAGGGTTAATTGCATAATCTAAAATAACAAATAAAAAGTGTTGCAATTGTTTAGATCAGGGGTAACATTATTTATTTTGCAATGGAAGTTTAGAATGTTAATTGTGTCTTCATGATTTCTGAAATATTTTAAATTGTGCAATGAACACCATAAATGCAATTTTTTTAAGAAAACAATATTTGACTATGGTGATAAAATAAGTTCTACATAATTTTTGGGATATTTAAATTACATATGCAAGTTTGAAGCGTTCATCTCACACTCATTCAAAATTTGGGTTATTTTAATTATTTTTCCCAATGATTTATTGGTACAAGAATATTGTGAATTTTCAATAACTGTTGCTAGCAGCAAACTTATTAGTCCTTATTTTATTAGTCATGGCTCATTTGGTATCAACAAAATTAACTAGTGAAATTAAACAAGTGGTGGAACTACAGAAGACGCACGCACAAAGGTAAAGTGGGATACAAAATCATGAGATCGACGAGATCTGTTTGAGCATTTGTTTTTTTGAAACCAGATCTGTTTGTGCACGAATCAACACAAGTGAGTAATTCTAACCATGATGATGAAATACTAGCATTTAACAGTTTACACACCATGTGAAGCCATATTTTGGTTGACAATTTCTTACATAAAGGCGAGAAAAGAATATTTCTTGTAACTTACACACTTCTTTTTTCAACAATGCTTGTTGTACTCACCCCTTATACTCATCTTAAAATCTGAAGTTATTAATCTTCCCGTCGACCCACTCTGGAAGGTATGAATCCAAAGCCTCGGATTTCAATCTTCCCGGCGACCATGAACAGTAGTTTCGCAATTAGGTTTTCTCGAACAGAAATGTCTCTTCCAAACGAAATGTCTCTAAGAGCATCCGCAATGCTTGAATGTCTAGTTTTAAAAAAATATGCCACATGTCAAATTATTAAGAGACTTTCTAATGCACGTGATAAATAGTTAAGTGACTAGACATTAACATTACAAGAAACCCTCCAATGCATAAAATGATATGTCGTTTCCTACTTGAATTAACGCCAGACAGAACTCTGTATTTGAGTGCTTTGGAGAAAGAAAAGCAAAAAAATAGGCCCATGTTCTACTTTTTTTTTTATTATTCATGCGTATTTTGTTAGGTTTGTCTAGTCAGCAAGTTTAGGACGATGTCTATACTCGAAAGTTTCCCTTGACAGTGTTCAACGGTTATTATGCCAAGTCATCAAAAGTAAATAGAAGACTAGCTGCGTTGGAAGAGAAATTAAGCATAAAATTTCTAATTTGCTGAGGTGGCTTGTTTTTCTAAGACTAGACATCCCAGCAATGCAGATGCTCTTATATCCACCTCTATGAACACTATTTTTTTGTCTGTAAATTCGATTCACAGACAAAATATGTCTTATTTTGTCTGTGAAAGAATTCACAGACAAAATAAAATATTCACAAACATGGATGAATATAAGAATGGGTAAAAACATTTTTTTTCTTTTTAGTACTTCATTTGAAGAGGCTCCAAATGAATTTCCATTTCCAAGTTATTCGCTCTTCCGCTGCCCAGTTGATTGAGCGAGACTACTGAACTAACTGAGATTTTATTGAACTACTTGTCTTAGTTGTCTACTTCCAACCAAACGATTTCATAGATAATTATATTCATTAATACGAAGTATATTAAAATGTTGATGTAAAGACAAGTCTTCTATTTATGTCTTTCGTTACATACAAGTTACAAATGAAAGGATTAAATAAACTTTTTTTTTATCAAAACGAAACACATTAATTTAAAAGTTGGCCATCATAGGGGTGTTTGGATCTGATTTTCAAAACTGATTCTGCTCCTTTAGGGAGCAGGAGCAGAAGCTGAAGTGTTTGGGTGAAATTCCAGAAGCACTTCTGGAGCTCTAATTTACTCTCAGAATCAGTTTTTTTAGAAGCTGGGAGGTACCAGCTTCTGAAAACTGATTCTGCTTCTGCTTTTAAAAAAGAAGCAGAAGCAGTTCCAAACACCCCCATATTTTTTTTTGGGAAAATGGCAAATAAGGCCACGTACTAACCAAAAAAGGTCAAATAAGGCCTTATTTATGAGGCTCTGTCCGGCCTTCGCCATATGGGGTGGTTCTTGGTGGAATTTTTTGATAAAATTTTTTGACCATCTTATTCATTAAGTCTAGTTTACTCATACCAAATTTCAGCTAACAATTCAATCGGGAAGGCATTCAAATGAATTCTTGAAGATAACTGCGCAGTTATCTTCAAGAATTCATTTGAATGCCTTCCCGATTGATGTTTTAGCTGAAATTTGGTATGAGTAAACTAGACTTGCTGAATAAAATGCTCAAAAATTTTCATCAAAAAGTTCCACCAGGAACCACTCCAAATGGCGATGACCAGACGGAGTTTCTTAAATAAGGCCTTATTTGACCTTTTTTTGTTAGTGCGTGGTCTTATTTGCCCCATTTCTCTATTTTTTTAACTACTTACATTTTGTTGCCTATTCTATGTGATATACTTATGTAATTTTTGTATGCACTTCTTGAAGTATGCACAAGTGCCAAAACATTTCCATTTAAAGTTTATCATTTTAGAATGATCACCCACCCTCACACGTGGTCTCATAATTACTAAATTTGTCCATGTTAACAATCATGAATCATCCCACCAAAATCGAACAGAACACACAAAATTTGACATAAACTGACCAAACTTTAGGTGATTCGGTTTAAGACTTTGGATTTGAAAATTGACAAAAGTCTAGCATAACATGCTAAAATTGACCAAAAGTATGCTAAAATTGACCAAAAGTAAAACAAGCCAATTGAAATTAGCCAAAGCAGGCTCAAATAGTACAATTCAATTCTAGTTTCATTATTTTCAAAATTAACCATAAAAAATCAAACTGTCGAGTATCTCTAATTTTCACTTTAGAGACACTATCCTCGCACGAAATGAGATCATTATGCATATAATGATAACTTGTAAATTAATATTTAACAAAATATTAAAAAAAAAATTGTTTTAGATATAAACTACGGAGTATTTAAAGACACTTTAGAGACACTATCCCTCACACAAAATGAGATCATTATTAATATTTAACAAAATATGACATGCTTGCAGGTAAACCATGAAAGTAATCATTTCACATACAAATTCAACTAATATATGTTTAAGATATAAACTAATAGAGAGCTCTTCTCATCAGGCCGGCCTGACGGGCTGCCCCGTCCGGCCGAGCCTGTTTGGGTACCTTACCGGTGGAATTTTTTGATGAAAATTTTTGAGCATGTTCCTCATCAAGTCTAGTTTGTCCATACCAAATTTCAGCTCAAAATTCGATCGGGAAGGTCGTCAAATGATTTTTGCAAGTTAACTGGTCCGGAATATGTATTTTCCGGACCAGTTAACTTTAAAAAATCATTTGACGACCTTCCCGATCGAATTTTGAGCTGAAATTTGGTATGGACAAACTAGACTTGATGAGGAACATGCTCAAAAAATTTCATCAAAAAATTCCACCGGGAAGGTGCCCAAACGGGCTCGGCCGGACGGGGCAGCCCGTCAGGCCGGCCTGATGAGAAGTTTTCTCTAAACTAATATTCCAAAAATTTAGCTAAACTGTAATTCTAAACAGTGTTCATTTAAACTTTTTAATGACCTTAAACATTATTAATAAAATCATAGTTGGAAAACATCAACAATAAAACTAGGGGGCAAAGAAAGCCAACAAGCACGGGCATACATAGAACTATAGAAGCAGCCACCCGAGCTAGCTCTTGCGTTATCCGTTCACAAACCCTTAACATGCGAGAAAGAAAGGCTAGACCAAATTCCACTACTTCTTTAATGAGAAACCAAACTGACACAATTCATCACCGTTGTGAATAGCATAAATAACTTGAATCTAATAATCTCCTTCAACGTGAAAAAAATAATGTATGAAGTGAGATGCATATTCCAATAAAATCTCTACAATCTCAAAGATATTTTCCTACTTCTAAAAGTTAGAGAGAATTGTTGCTTTAAGCCGATAGCTTTCAACTGTGACGCTATTAGTCTCATAACTATACGTACATGCAAATATGATCCGGACTAATAATTCCACCGGAAAGCACACATTACGGCAAAAAACATACCAGATTAACGTCATCGGCGCCAAATTTTCCATCATAAAGTGTATTTTCTTATGGAAAGGCCCTTAATGCGGGCAAACTTATAAATTATCCAACCAGCAACCAACTAAAGTTACCAGACTAAAAACTTACACCACCAAACGTAAAAAACGTAAAATAGAAGTTATTTAACCCTCTTTAAAGGATAGGGAGGATCCAACCAGCAACCAACTAAAGTTACCAGACTAAAAACTTACACCACCAAACGTAAAAAACGTAAAATAGAAGTTAGTTAACCCTCTTTAAAGGATAGGGAGGAGGGTAAGAGCATATTTTTTAGCGCAGAGGTGTAAATGATCATACACCAAACATCAAGGGAGGTCAATGATATTTTGCCTATAAGATTTTCAAACCCTAGCCCCTCTAATGATTTCGCCAATGTAATCAGGTGAACTGTGAACGTGAACAGAGTAGATTCATACTAGCTGTCTAGCTGAGTTTGGTTTGCATATAACTATATAAGTAGTTGCGCAAGTTGTTAAACAGATGGACGGGTTCTTGCTGTTTAATTGTGCATAACCATAAATAAAACTGGTATGTGGATTACTGTTGAAGACTTATTTTCTATACACGTTATGTTATTTTCTATACATTTTTAGTTTCCCTTGAAAATGATGAGGGCTTATTGAAAGTCCACACCCAAAAAGAGAGACAAACATACACACTCAACAAGTAACAAGCAAGCAAAAGGTAGTTAGAAGCTTTATACAAAACAATTTTGAAACTCAGATGACGCCATTCACAGACTTTTTGCAGCTGAAAGGTTGTCGTTATATACCTAGCACACCAAGAACTGGGTTCCTGCCTTCATCAATTTCAATCAGCAGTGTATGGTCTGGATCTGCACCGCTGGGTCCCGTTGAGTAGAGTGTAGGAAGGTATGCATTGTATGCTGGCAGGTAACGCGACACAAATTCTTTTACCTGAGATCATGGTGAAAAACAAAAAATTAGACAAAAGATGTTGAGGTGGATATGTAAAGGCACCATTCATCTTGTGAATAAAAAAACCTCCTCATCCGACATCCCAGGCTTTCCCTCACCCTTCATAGCTATTTCAGCCTGAAAATTCACATTACAGAGTAGGATAGTCATGAAATTTGTTTGGAATTGTTGAATGCTCTGAATCTAATGGTTGATTATTTTGTACGTGAGATGAAAAGTGTGAACTATCTTTAAAAAGATTACAAAGTATTTCCTTCAATGGTTTAAAAGAAATGAAAATCTACAAAAAAATGAAGGGTATAAATATATACCGAGAACTTGAGAAGGCACTTTGTGTACGTGTGTGTGAAGAGATTATGGATGGGCTTTACCAACCTCTAAACGCCATTTATATACACATCTCAGGTCTTGAATCTTGATGACTATCCATGAATTGACAAATTTGGCCCATGCATCAGAGTAAGCTTCTAAATTCTTGTTAACAACCTCCAGCTTTGATATTTTGGGTTGACCACAAGTAACATAAAAGACCACTTGAACGTTCACAATACGGGAAACAAGGCTTTGTGGAAACAGACTCTTGGCAACCCACCACACACACACATGATCTTAGATGATAAAGATGCAATGTGTCATATTATGAGGTGACAGTATGTACAAGAATAACTTCACAAGGACTGTGTATGCCATGAGATAACATTACGTGCATCTAGGCTCTAAAATTACTTCATTAACAAAACCAGAGAAATGAGGACACACATAGGGAATGAGCAGAAACCTGCGGATCAACGTCTTTGACAACTTCACATGGAAGGGGCTTGAAACCAAGCATCCAACCCTCAAATAGAACTACCTACAAAAAGCAACAGAGAGAGAAACATGTGTAATTGGACTTATCCGAAAATATTACCTTTTTAGAAATAAAAACATTATCTTTTTAAAAGAAGCACCGAAAGAGGCCCTTCGATCTCTGGCCATGTAGAAGGATCAGCTCTATCGCCTCTACCATTATATGCTGACTGCAAGGAAGATGACACAATAAGTGATGTGAGATATAGGAACCATTCGATAAGTTATTTGAATCTGGTGATTTTTATTAATGGAAAAGCGTTTGGTAACATATATTTCAATCTAGAAAAAAAAAATACTTAGAGCTTGTTTGGTAAGTATGGTATGACTTAAAATGACTAGAGTGACCGAATTTGTATCAGTTGTGGGTGAATTAGATCAATCTACTGAATGGTCGAAATAACTCATTTAAATATATATCCTATATAAGTTCATCATTATCATCATCATTACTCCATTGCCACATAAGGGGTGTTAGGATGTTTTTACTTGGACTGTAATTCGTCCCAGACCAGACCAGACTTGGATAGTTATAAGAATACAAAGAAACCAGACCAGACCAGATCAGACCAGACCATCAAATTACAGTCCAAGTAAAAACATCCTTAATAATAGAAAGTGTACACAAGTTGTACACAACTTGGACACAAAATGTCGGTCACAGACAATTGGTACCGAGTTGCCTGTGAGCACAGACAAGAGTTGTCTATGACACAGACAACTTTTGTTTGTGTCCACAGACATTAATTTTAATGTAAAAAGTACACTTACGGCCGCCAAACACTGACACTAGCGTGCAAATCAATCTATATGTGTGCAGTGCTTGTGTGCACAGACAAGACAATTATTGCTATGTGCACAAACAATATTTACCTTACGAACAATAGTTGTGCGACTCACGAACAACTATTGTCTGTGCGATCTACTTTAGTTGTCTGTGATCAATTTTACAAAAATAATAATTGTGTATATACATCCAAATGAATGATATAGTTGTATGTGTGATCAATTTACATGGAATTTGAAAAAAAAACAATAATAATAATAGATGAAATAAGATGAATAAACTGATTTTGTGCAAGTAATGGAAAATTTTTGATATAAAAAGGTAGAGAAAAGGAGGGGGACGAGGAGAAGAAGATCATCCATTTTTTTTGGAATTTTCGAAGGGGCTGGGTAAAGAAGGAAGAGGGAAGGGAGAGAGAGGGAAGAGAGAAGGGAGAGAGAGGGGGGGGATGGGAAAAATTTCGGCTTTTATAGTCTGTACACTTTGTTTATAACTTATGTACACTAAACATTTTTTTGTTAACAATGCTGACAAGAAAAATATGAAGCCTGCCAAGCTATGAAGCACTTAAACTTCCCCCTGCTCACATTTCCCAGATTTGGAAACCCAGAAGCGTGTTGGAAACTCAAAAAGTTCACATATCTGTTTCAGAGTTCTTTCCGTAATTAGAAGAATTGGGAAACCTGTTTCCCTAAGTATTAACGTTTCAAGGTCTTTGGATTTTCAATTTTTTTCTTTGTTATGTTATTCCTTGATGGAAAATAGTGCCTTTTTAAAAATCTTTAATGATTTTTTATGGAACTTCTTCTTAGCAACATTGTGATATTTCATAGCGCAATATATTGTTAGAAATGCATTACATTTACATTAAATTATGTACTAGTATGTACAAATTTCTAAATTTGAACATGTATTTATGTATTTATTATTGGGTTATCAAACCAGTTATATGAAAAAATAATGTGCTTATATAAATGAAAAAACATGTGTCCATATATAAAATATTTATAAATATATCAGTACACTTTTAAATATTAATGTGTTTCCCCCACATTTCATAAACTATATTTTTTAGAAATCATGTTTCTCGTGTTTCCGTGCTACTTAGCTATCAAGCCTTTTCTACCAGGGAAGGGGGAATTTATGAAGTGTGGAGGGGAGGGGAGGTTTGATTCTCTTTTTACTAATTCATCGTTACTTGTTAGTTTTAACAAGAATTTTACTACATGTTTAGGTTGCGGTTTGGTATGACTCATTTTCAAGAAAAAAAGTCTTGTTAGAGGAAGAAAAATACCTTTACTTCAAAGAGAAGCATTTGGAAGGGAAATGGGGAAAAAGAGGTCTTAACCGTAAAAATGCATTTCTATTGCTTATTTTAATAAAATGTCATAATGGTTCTTCTTCAAAAAAGCAGTCTAAGTTCTTAAATGAGAGATCATTTGGGGAAAAAACTTGCACCACAAGTTATGCCACACAAGTTTTTAGTTAAATTGTATATATCTTTTTCTCACTATCATTTTCTTTGCAACGTGGGGAGTAATGCTTACTTTATCATACCTAGGGAGCTTCATCTTCGCACCTGGATAGCAAGGGAAAATTAGTTGACAATATATTTCTTCAATTGTTGCAGAGATAACATATAAGCTTTCACCTTGTTTTGTCAATTTGGTTAGAGCAGTTAGAGTCTTAACAAATAAAGGAAGATCATGGCTTCCAGCATTTCCGCGAAACTGAAGATAATAAAATACACTTCATCATTTGTGACCACAGAAGTGCTATGATAGCAATGTAAAGTGGGAGGCACTGGATGTTTACCTCCAATAGTAAATTCCCAGGATTGCTTTCCCTTAGTGTTACCTAAAACGCAATAGAAAAAGTGGATGCACCATTCATTAATAGTTGAGAACTCATATGGCTTCGTTGGTAATCCCATTTTGGCTTATCAGCTTCGACTTCATCACCAACATTTTCTACCAACAAACTCATTTAGTTGTAAAGGAAAAAGGAAAAATCATGTAGTTGTGGTTATTAAGACTTGAGGTGTCATCCTAAAAAAGTTCAACTAAATAAGAGTATCAGACACCTTACACAGTTCACCTCATCTGGACCGTGCAAAAAAAAATCACTAGCCCACATATGGCTAGAGATCAACGAGACTTAGATATCAATTAAGATTCTGAGCTACATCCTACATGATCAAAAGGCAATTTCTTATATATTGGTTTTTTAATTTCATAGTTAGTGCATGTGGGACAAGCTCATTAACAATAGCATATTTCCTAAAAAACACTACCTGATTGATAGTTAAAAAGGAATGCAGTTTTATTAACATGGATGCAATGAAAGTAAATAACAATTTGACCATCAAATGTGTGTACTATAATTCATTAAAGATTACATTTGACATGCATGTTTAGATATTTCAGCTAAATCAACCATTTTTGCTATAATATCGACAAATTAGGCTATCTTAGCCAAATAAAGTGGATGAAAGCCACAAGTTAAAATGGTCCTATAGTGCTGGCTTAAAAAGTACACCAAAGAAGACCTGATCTTCTGCGGTCAAGTAGAAATCATCAATGGACAGCATAGCTGAATTCCTGATATTCAACATGTAGGAGTAAATTTCGCTTATTCTTATTTTTATATGGAGTACAAGTTCGAAAAATAATCATATAAAACTGTTTAACCTACCTCCCAGTTACAAGGAAAAGATGATCCAGCGCAAAAACAAGTGTCGTCTTTCCACATCCTTGTGGTGCACTGAGCCCAATCTGCACAACAAGCACAGGATAACAGAGTGAGTAACAGATTTAGACTTATTCTCCTCATCTGTTCCACTACCAGACTGGGGCATCACATGTTTATTTTTTAAGTATAAAACCAGTCCCGATGAGACAAGTCAAAACAACAACAACAACAACAACATCTAAGCCCCAAACCATTGAATCGACATATGAAATTGGAGCTAAAATATTAAAAGATAAAGATAAGATGAAGATAAAAAGGTTAAAATGATACAAATAAAAAAGATAAAAAAAAAAAGAGATAAATCCTCCACCTGTATTTTGATGAGACAAGACAAAACCATGGAAAAATCAAGTCGAAGAGAACAGGTCTTCTGCCCTACTTAGACTGCTTTGTCAAAATTTGAGATCTCATTCATACACATGCTATCTATTTGGTCACACTTCCACCTAGACTTTCATGTTCTTTCAAGATTTAGTCCTTTGTGAAAAAATTCAACGACTCTGATTGAAAGGAGGGAGGGAAGGATTGATGAATGATAAAAAAAAACTTACCACCAAAGGTGGAACTTCTTCTTTGCCTTTGAACTTAGAGCAGTGATTGGATAATTCATTTTCACACCACAGGAACACAGGGATATAGTAGTGATAAATTCTAACTTTTTCGGAAAGGTTAAGATTCAGGTGGTTGAGGTGAAATAGTGTGCATAACACTGATCCATACTCTAAGCACTTATCTAAAGACTCGCCCACCATTTCTGAGGTTATACCGGTTTTATTCACTAGGGGGCTGGAACATATGAAATCAAAAAGGTCGTTTCTGGATGCAGCTTCCATGATTTTCTTCTTTAGAACTATGTTTCCTTCCATTTGAAATGAGGATTTTTGCGGTGATGTGAACGGTCTTGCCAAATCCACGAGTATCCTTCAAGGATGAGCATTAACTCTATTAAAAAACTTCACATAGGATAAATAATTAAAATACACACACAAAAAGGGGTTTACATGGGAACTACACTTCTGTAGGGTACAGTCGATTGTATCGTGTGCACAGTACAACCGAGTTTTTTTTGTAAATAATTTGCGCTGCAACTCATCTGAGCCGCAACCCATCTGCGAGGACAATGAAGGACATCGAAGAAGACGAACATTACCAAATTATCTTATAGGCAGGCGTGGGAGATCAAAGAAGCGGAAGGAATCACCTCCTAACATTACAAAACTAAAAGAAGAAATGGCTGATGAGATGAATAAGAAAATTAAGCATTGATTAGCTTTTGCTATAACTAAATTGGCAGCAGACAATCCAAATTTGAAAGTCAATGTTGAAGAGCTTTTTGCAGCAATGCCATTTGATGTTTCCAATGATGAGCTTCAAGATTATTCCAATTCTTCCGATTCTAATGAGGCTGAAACATCTAAGGGAGATTAAAGATTGAAATATGATCAAGGTTAGTCTTTTGTAAGAAGTTTAATTAATTTGTCAATTTAATTGATATCAAATCAATAGAGTAATTTATTTCGGCGTGTTTGTTCTTTTTTAGTTTCAAAGGGATTAATAGAACAAAAATGTTAACATCGAATCAAGCACTCTGAATGCTTGATGACAGCGATGTTTATGAACTGAATTGTTGCTATAAAAGGTTTATTACTAAATGTCTAATACTGATGTCTTTTCGACTTACCAGAGGCCTAACGAATTTCAGCTATTATGTTTGATATATGGTGGTATTTAGTTCTAAGTTCAGTTGATCTGAACTACGAAGTATCACATTAGTTTAGTACTCCGTTCTTAATAGATAGACATTGAGTTCATCTTTAACTTTTGTCATTAAAAAACTTTTTTGTAAATTATTAGAAACTGTGAATTTATATTAATAGTTATCATTGCATACTGAACAATTTTGTAGTGAATAATTTTACGAGTTATATGCCTAAATTCATTGAGTGTGTTTGTTCTCAAGTCTCATGTTAAAGAACTTTTTATAGATGATGCTCTGTAAAAGGAATTAATAAATTGTTTTCTTGATTTTCTTAAACGCTAAGACTGTCTTGGGAGCATGTTGCCAATGCTGATTTTACCTGTATTTCCCTTAGAAGTGTGTTTGGATGGGGTATTTAAAAGGCTAGTGAGTTATTTTTGTTCTAACATTTCTTTTTTATCCAACCATGCATTGAGATTAATAGTTAACATGTCTTTACTCAATTTTTTTTGTTCAAAGTATAAACTTAATATCCTACATAAACACAATGAATGGTAGCAATTGGTTTGATCTTCGTCATTCAATTTCGTGTAGTACATATAACTGATTTGGTGTTTGATATATACTTGTTATTTTTTCAGGTGCTCATGGTATTTGCTTTTTGTTCCTAAGTAGTTATGGAGGCTAATTCCCATTTTGGATGCAAGAACGTGAAGAAGTTTTTTGCTCTTAAACTTATGATGTTTTTGAAATTTTTAGGTTGTAATTGCTACGATAAGTATGAATGTATGAATGATACTTTAATCAATTAAATATATTAAATATATCAGCACTACTTTTGCATATCGTATTTTTTGAGTTCTTGTTTGCTAAACTGGAAGTGTATGTCCTAAAATTCCACAATATGATCAATGAGGGATTGCAATTAAATTATCAATGACAATTGTAGTAATTGTATTAATAGTGTTGCAATTCAAATGATTTTAAAAATGGTTTACTAGATATTCAAATATGTGTCAAAAACATGGTTTTAAAATCATAATAAAAGCATCACAATTTTTGTGCAAAATGTTGCTCCAAGTGTTGCAAAGTAGTGTATTTGCACTTAAATGTGTTGTCTTAGTTATTGTGAAGAATAATGTTGCCTTAGCTAAAATAGTTGCAACACATTTTTGTTTGTTGCTATAGGCATCTATGGCATTGGCCAAAATTTCAACACTTTTAAAATTGGAAAGTGTTGCCATAGATTCCTAAAGCAACACATTAGGGTGTAATGCAACTTTTTTAAAGTGTTGCCTTAAGTTTGAAAATTCCAAAATAGGACTGTCATGTTTTTATTCCCAAAATAGGAGTAATTACTGTCAAGTTTGGAAAATACTGTCATCTTTAAAGTCTGGTACTGCCAAAACATGACAGTAATTAGTCCTATTTTGGGAATAAAAACATGATAGTCCTATTTTTGGAATATAGAAGTGCTTTTAGTCCTATTTTGGGTAATTTCTCATATTTTTCATGTTTGCTCTCCATTCTCTTTGCTCTTCATCTTATATTTCTATCGTCTGCTCTTCAAGGGCGGAGCTAGGGCACTGAGCTGGACTAGTACAAAGATTATTTATTGGGAAAAAATACACAGAATTTTTACTTTAAAATTAAAGCATTTTTAAATTTTGGGGTGAACCAGGACCTCGGTTGCCCCCCCCCCCCCCCCAGCTCTGTCGATGCTGCTCTCTTTCTCTCTCGGCTGCTCGCCCTGTTATCCTGCCAGCTTCTTCTTTTATTTGCTATCACCCGGTCCATCTTTATTATAGCAAGAGAAGAAGAAGAAAATAAAATAGAGCAAAACGAAGCCGGCGAGATAATAGGGGCAGACGAGAGAAATATAAGATGTAGAGCGGAGAGAAGGGAGAACAGATAAGAAAAAAATAAGATGATGAACGAAGGTCAAAATGAGTGGACGGGAGAAAAATAGAGTTTATAGATTAATTATTTGGTGATTTGGACTGCAATTGTATAATACAAACATATAATTTGGTCAAGTCAGCTATTTTAATGTTCTAATAAAGCAGATGTACTTGATCGACTATAAAAATACAAGTCCATGTACTTTAAAATTTCAAATGCAAAATGAAGTACTACTTACTCTCGACGAATAACTTCATGTACCATTTTGACATTTTCTCGTTGGATTATGTACCGACAAACTTTGTCACTTTCCCATTAAATTAATTATTTTATGATTATGCTTTTGTTCATTTTTCTCTCATGTTCACAAATTTCAATCACACAATATATTTACTATTCTTATTTCAAAGAGTATTGAAATTGGAAAAGGAGATAGTAATTGTTGGGTTAATGGCCCAAGCCGAGGTCCGGCCCATTAACCCCTTTCTACCAGACGCACGTCCAGTTAGGACACAAGGCTAGCCGCAGGCCCATGCTCCTTGGGGAGCAACGAGCGTCTGGGATTGGGGGTTTAGGCTCGACGGCCCATCTCGACGAGCGTCTATGCAGGGACAAGAAGCAGGACCACGGGCTATCAGGGATGACGACGAACGTCTCCAGAGCAAGCCTATGGTCATCGGAGGAAATCCGGCCCACATGGTGAGGATCCATTAAGGCCACGAGACGAGCAGTCGGTACCTCTTGAGAGTCACTTGGAGCGATCCAGCTCGCTCCCCGGGCGGACGAACGTCCCCACTATTTAGGCGGGAAACCTAGATTCTGGCGGGAAGTGCATTTAATGCTGAAGATTTGGTGGTTGAGACACCAGCGGTCCACAGGCTTCCACGTCAGCATAGCCACCTGCCCATTGGTGGGTATAAATAGAAGCATTTATTTCATTGTAAAGGGTTGGCAACTTTCTATTCTTAGCACTCTAGCTATAGCATTCTTACTCGCAGCACTTCTACTGCCTTGTAAGACGAACGGCCGACGGAGCCTTAGCGGAAAGTGTTGTATTAGGGAGTTATTAAGAGATAATAATACCTAATCACTTACTTGCTATCTTACTGTTTCTTGATCCTTATTATCTGCTTGTTGGGCTAGTTTATTCACATACACTCCACTCGAAATCCTTGGGCTTACGTGTTGGACCCGGGGGTTGAAGGAATAAACCTCAACACTGGCGCCGTCTGTGGGAAACTGAACTAAAAGTTTCCAAAAAACTCTCCCAAACAGCTACTAAATCTACCCACAGCAAGCACGATGACAAGAAACAACCGACAACGTGACCTCTCCGAGCAGCTGTCCCGTGGGCGAAGCAACCGCGGGCAAACCACGGAACGCTCCGACACGTTGGAAACTGCCGGGGGTGAAGGTGGCCTTACCAACCTCATCCCCCACGAAGCCAGACGCGACCCCCGACTCATGAGGGAGTTGGCGGAAACAATGCGCCGAATGGCGGACGAACAGGAGGCGGAAGAGGAGGTGTATTCAGCTAACACCATCCGGGCGCCCATATCACCCATCCACCACATGCAGTCCCTGGATGAGACAGCGGAATCTGCCGGGCGTCGGACGCCCATCCACATGAGGTTGGGTCAAAATCCGTCCTCCCACGGAGCTGGGGGGCACACCGGCGCCAGCACCCCTCGATATGGCTGGCAGGACGATCATCGGGGGCGTACGCCGGACGTTCCCTCAGAACATCAGGGCACCGCCATTACCCCCGCCGCCAGTAACATTGGACGACGTTTCCAACGGCGTGGTGCCCACATTACACGAAGGCAACCCGACGCGGTTGCCCCACGAAGGAACGTTGCGCTCGAGGCCGCCCCTTCTGTGTCCCCCGGAAGGGCCGCACAGGAGGCCCGGCTAGAGGCAATGGAGCGGCGAATTGCCGAAATGGACAGACGGGCGGAGGCCACCCCGGCCACACCCCGTTTCTCCCTCACCTCACCCTTCACTCCGAGGGTCATGAATGCAGAGATCCCGCGGGACTGCAGGCCCCCCCAAGGGATAGTATACAATGGGACCGGAGATCCCAAGGCTCACTTGATCAGCTTCCAGGGGAACCTCTCCATGCTAGGAGCGTCCGATGAGGCTATCTGCCGGCTCTTCTTCAGCACCCTGAGGGGACCGGCGCAGGAATGGTTCGGGCAGCTGAGGCCCGGATCCATTGACAATTACGAACAGTTGTCCCAGCAATTCATGGCACAATTCGCTGCCAGCACCACCCCCAAGAAGAGCTTCACATCGCTCACCAGTGTGAAGCAGGGAAAAG